TATAGACTAATATAATAGTTATTATGAATTCTTAGTGCATATCGTATATCAAAATACAACTGCAAAACCACTCTATAATCACACGATCACTGTATGAAATAATATGAGTTTGTTTTACTTTTTATTTTATATTCACTTTTAACGTATAGTTATAATAATTTGATGCAAATTCTCAGTCGAGAATTGCACTGAATTTTCCAAAAAAGTTTTTGTGATAAAAGCCCATTATTTTAAATTAAAGGCTAAAAATAATTTACAGTATCATTTTTGTGAGCCCATAAATCATTATGATTTCCACATTTGCTATTCCTATTACAATAAGTTATATAAACTAAAAATAGTTTCTATAATTTATAAAATTTAACAAAAGTATATTATTATCATAAAGAATTGTATGCAATATTTATTTAAGTAGTAATTATACAGTGTCAATTACAGCTACATCTTTTGTATTTAAAACAATGGGATAGTCTATGAAATCCTGAAATATTTATAAATCAAATATCAAATAAAATCAAATAATAGGTATTGTCTTTCATATTATCACATAAGATAATAAATAATATATAAATAATTTCAAAATTAAGGCCACGAGAGAGAGAGAGAGAGAGAGAGAGAGAGAGAGAGAGAATAATTAATTGAACTATATTACTGAATAAGTTAATTGATTCTTTGAATTTATGATAACAAACACACAAAAAATCGTTGATATTATGCCATAAAATATTCAATTGTATAAAATGTTTGGGAAATATAATAGCAATAGATATCGATTGTACTGATTATTAATTCATTGGAAACCTTTATATCGAAAATATTTATCAAATCAAAAAATGTCATTAAAACTCATTGAATATACGGTAAGAGTAAAGTACACTAATAAAAAATCTAAATATTCATTAAATATTCATTTTAAACTCATTACAAAACATTTTAAAACTACATAAAAATTTATTCAATCATAACATTAAACATTGTGTCAAACAAACAATTCGTAAACCAATTAATTTCATTAAATTATATTATATTAGAAAACCTCACAAATTGAGTCTAAATTTAACAAACATTTGCTCTAATTCAACACATTTTCGTGCATTTGTTTGGTCTGTAATTCCCGATCGATTTGGTGCTGTTTTGCCCACAGATTGGCGTAAAGACTGTCCGATTTGGACACGAGGTTGAAATGGTTGCCGCTCTCCACCACTCGGCCATCGGATAAGACATAGATATTGTCGGCGTTCACAACAGTAGACAATCGGTGAGCGATTCCTATAGCCGTCCGGTTTTGTGTCGCTCTATGCAATGCTGTCATTATTTTCTACATCAACACCAAAATGAGTGAAAATTACAAAACACTCTAAACTACCGGTGCCTACAAACAGGACTCACATATTCGGTGATGGAGTCGAGTGAAGAGGTCGCCTCATCGAACACCAGAATAGGGCTGTCCTTAAGCACAGCCCTAGCAATGGCGACCCTCTGCTTCTCACCGCCGCTCAACTTGAGACCCCTTTCCCCTACTCGGGTCTCGTACTTCTCGGGCCAGCGCTGTATGGAGTCGTGCAGCTCTGCCATCTCCGACACCTCATACACCTGTTCCTCACTCTTAGCAAAGTCTCCGTAATTTATATTATATTTAATGGTGTTATTGAAGAGTACGGTGTCTTGCGGTACAATAGCTATCGTGCGGCGCAGGCTATCCAGGCTGTAGTCGCGGATGTCGTTCCCATTGATGAGTATTCGGCCCTTTTGTGGGTCAAAGAACCGGTAGAGGAGGCGAACGATTGTCGACTTTCCCGAACCACTGCTGCCCACCAGTGCTATCCATTTGCCGGCCGGCACTTCAAACGACAGGTTATTCAGAATCGGCTGATCCTTCACGTACTCGAAGTACACGTTTTCAAACCTCACGACCGCCTCCTTGTGCGTCAGTATAAGGGCCGGTGCATTGGGCTTCTCCTACAAAATTATAGCCAAATATTAAACATAAAATCAGACCATTAAATGGCGCCTCAAATCCTAATCAATACCTTAACAGATGTCTGAAGGCTTAACAGATTAAACATAGTCTGCATATCAATTAGTGATTGTCTAATCTCTCGGTAAACGGATCCCAAGAAGTTTAATGGCAGTGATAACTGAAACAACAGACCGTTAACCATAACCAGATCGCCGACAGTCATGTTTCCTAATCAAGTGAACAGATATTCCGTTAATAAACATGTTTTGACTCCAGAAGTGTATCACAAATACCGGCGACAATGCCTTTGGCCGACAGTATCATAATAGCGGCCAAAGAGGCACTAAAAATGGCGTTTTGACCGAAGTTGAGAAGCGCTAAACTGGTGGTCGTCTTAAGCGAGGCGTCCGTATACTTCTTAAGCAGAGAGTCATACTTCTTGGCCTCATATGACTCGTTATTAAAGTATTTAACGGTTTCGTAATTAATGAGTGAATCGATGGCTTGATTTCCGGACTCGTTCTCCGCTCTATTCATGTGAACCCGGAATTTAGTCCTCCATTGAGTGATGCCTAACGTGAATGCAGTGTAGGCTCCGATACAGCCCAGTGTTATGGCGGCGAACTCTCCGCCAAACTTATAGTACATAATACTACTGACCAGGGCCACCTCGAATATGGTCGGCACCACATTGAATACCAGTGCACTCAACACGAAATTGATGCCACTGTACGGGGAATTAATAGTATATTAGTGCTTTCAGAGCACAGGTAGTTATGATGGGTGCCATACCGGGTGCCCCTATCGATGGCCTTAGAGAGAGCGCCCGTCTGTCGATTCAAATGAAAGTTGAGATCCATTTGATGCAAATGAGTGAACACATTGTTGGCCACACGGCGTATGGAGTCGTGCGCCACTTTGGCAAACACGGCATTCCGGAGCTCATTGAACAGGGAGGAGCCCGCTCTGGCCATACCATCTGCACGGGTAGTAAAATACATTTAGTCCTATTGTTCAGTAAATTCTGGAGACTCCAGACAAACATACAGCTAATCATGAGAGCGGCGGCCACTGTCATGACAGTACTGGACGGGTCGGTCAGCGCCAACACATTGCCGGCGTTCGCGTTTAAGTGGTCGACGCCGTGTTTGAATATGAAGGGCACCTCCACGTTGATCACCTGTTCCACACATAATCATAGATTTCATTATAGACTACAATTAAAATAACATAATGTCTCAAAAAGTGTGCAATTCTTGATATTCTGTATTAACTATAAAATAAAATTCTCACAACTATTAGAAAAGTTTCACTGTATTAGAAATGTATTACCGGTATAGATATGTCGGTATAATTGATATCAGAATCTAATTATACAGTACTTGAGTTAAAATAAATACAAAATATCTTATTATATGATAAGACCGGTAATACTTTCAATCACGTGATAGCATTGAGATTAGATTTGAATTGAAATATTCATACAATTTATACAACTTTTCAAACAATTTTCTTGTTACCGGTAATAAATTTATAGTAATCACTGATTACTAATCACTCAAAATTGCATTTAAATATTAACAGAATATTCAATGAGATGATTGACTAAATCAATACAATTTGGTATAAAAACTAAAAACCAAAACAAATTTAACGAAACCTTTGCGACGATTAATAAACCCATGGATAGGACGACTCGTTTGCGTAAATCCTGTCGATCTTTAGGCCAAACGTAACCAAACATTTGCTTCAGTATATGGACGGCACCGACCTTTGACTTGCCGGTGGGCGCCGGCGTGTCATTAGATATGGTCGAGTAGTGTCGGGTCCACACCTGTTGGCCAGCGGTGGTCGCACTCAACTGCAAGACATACACACAAATCAATGGCTATTACTATCCATCACTCATCACATCCAGAGCACAGATATCTTAACGAAGAACTCATATGAATCACTAGAAAATTAAATACATGTTTACAATGATATCATTGGATTTAGCGGTCAATGACTTCTGGTTGTGGCACCACTTCCTCGTCAGCCATATATCGCTCCGAGATTTCGATGCATTTCTTGTGATTATCTATGGTTTGGGATTAAAGACATTGAGATTATGGTTAAGACTATTACATAGCGTATAATAAATGGACAAATTATACGATACCTTAAAGTTTGCGAAACAATTACTTTTAACTATAAATTGCTTGTAATTCACGCAATAATTTACGCTATTTTTCTCATAAAGTAGCAAATGTTTGCTATTTAATAGTAATTTATACATTATATTAGGTATAAACACACAGACTAATGACCAAGATGTTTAAATACGGTATAAATTAAATAGTTTCGTTATGTAATGAACACATAAATCATGAAAACCTAACACTTTGTGATTAATGACTGATTAAAAAAGTTTTGTTTACAATAGTAATGGTTATACTGTTTGTTACGGTAGATGTCATTCATATGTCAAACGCTACAAAATCTCTATATTTTAATTTAAAATACAAAAATTAAATTTAAATTCAATTAAAATACAAATATAAGAAACAAACTTATAAACAATTACCCATACAATAATTTAACAAACAGCACTTCAATCAAAAAAAGTAAATTTTTATTACAAATTTAATCAATATATTAACAAATACTGAATAATGACTTTCGTTTTAATTTGAAAAAGTTGTCTCATTTTACTAAATGTATAACAAAAATGAATAAATTATAATTTTTAAGTAAACATAGCTATTATAAATTGCATTAATCATACGAATAGCTTAAATTTACTCTAAAAAAGTTTTCTAGAAAATAGATAATAATTTCAAATGTCAATCAATAAGTAGTGGAATCACAAGAACCACTGGATGTGATAAATGACTACACACTCAGCCATCGATGCGTTTGGGTTCTGGCATTTGAAACACACGGATCAGCTCCTGGTTGGACAGGTTCTGGAGCTTCAGCGGCGACAGGAATATGTATTGTTTGCCCGACTTCTGGGACGCGAACTCAATCATAGTGTCCAACGATATCTTACGGGTCATGAGATCCATGAACACATCCACTTCGTCGAGGATCTTGAAGGGCGACTGCGCCGACTCCCAGAGCGCCAGTATGAACGCCACCGTCGAGTACGAGCGCTCGCCGCCCGACAGGGAACGGGTGTCGCTATAGGAACCGGTGGTCGACATCTGACTACTGCGCGCTTGACTGTCGTCCATGGACTTGGGGTTCACTTTAATCTCCAAAGTCTTCGACTTCTTGAGCTCTCCGTTCACTTCCCTCTGCGTGTGGTATATATCGAGAGAACCGCAGAAACCCTTGTGTTTCAGTATATCCAAGAAGAAGATCTTCGTCATCATTGAGTAGAAGTTCCTGAGCTCTACGTAACCGCGCCGTCGCAGGTCCAGCGACTTCTTCAGATGCCTTAAATGCCTTTCCGTGTCATTCACTTCCGTCTTAATCCTCTTGTAATGAGTGGACAACTCTTTGTATTGTCTGTAGATCTGATCCTTTTGGCCAATACTGCTCTCCTGTTGGTCCAGAAACTTCTGCAACTGTTTTATCTCATTCACCACAGTCTTCGACGACCTCCGCGTCCGCATCTCTTCGCCCGTCTGTTTCATTGCCTCTTGCTTTCCGTTTTCGAACTCCTGTTCCCTGACCGCCATCTTCTCCTCCTCGGCAGTCTTCAGCGCCTCCGTGTCCGCCATTTTGCGCTCGTATTCCTTGAGCGCCAGCGTGTGGTTCGCTATCTTTGTTTTGATGGCCTCCAGACGCGACTTCAGCGGTGGCCTCGAATCCAACAAATCATCTTTTTCTTGCTTCTTTGTGGTCATCTGTGCGTCCAATCCCTGGTACTCCACTTTCAGCGCTTCCAACTCTTCCTGAACCACTTTCCTGCGCTCTTCGAGTTCAGACAACTTCGCGCCAAACGTCTGCAGCTCTTCCTCGAGAGTCGATATCTCCACTGGCGGTGAGTCACCAATGGATTCCAATTCCTTCAGTTTCCTATCCTTATTGATGGTCTCCGTGCGGATCTGCTTCTTACGTTTGTCCAACTCATTCATCTCTCGCTTCTTATTATCCATCGCTTGTCTGTGACTCTGGAGCGTCTGCTCCGACTTCTGGAGCCTCTCATTCATCTCATTCACCTCTTTCATCAACTGATCCACCATTTGGTCCACGTTTTTCATCAATATATTGGCGTTTCGTTTGTTACGATTGGCGTACGACTTGTAATCCGAGCCACGCGTTTGCGGAAACATCACACACCCGTCCGATGTGTACGCCTGATAGCAGTTCATCGGCGATGTCTCTCTACTCATGAGTAGCTCTTCGGCGGCCGTATAGTCGGGAATATAGAGAATCTGTTCGACGCGACACTGATCGATGACACAGTTGGCGATCGCGTCCTCTTTCATCTCCATTAACTCAAACAGACTCTTGTAGTCAGCGCTACGGACGCAGTGTTGGCTCACGTCGTGTCGGCGCCCGAAAGGTCGGGTCACTATCGGTGGCTTTCGTTGCTCACCGAACACTCGTTTGATTATATCATCCAATTGTCTCTTGTCGTCCATATTATCGCAACAAAAGGCATATATCAGGCCTTTGAGACACAACTCGACGGCCAGTGCGCACGAGTAGTCCTTTAGTTTTATGTGATTCCCGATCGGACCCAACGGCTTCTGCTTAAACACACCCCTCCGGTGCGCCTCATCGATGCGTTTCACTAGTTCTGGGTATTTGGGGCCAAACTTCTTGAGCTGATCCTCGCGGCTCTGATTCAGGCGCTGAATGTCACGCTGTTTGCCGGCGATAGCGCCTCCCAACCCATTCCTCTCCTGTGTCATTGCCAGCCCTTTATCGGCCAACGCTTGCATCGATTGATCCAACTCTTGGAACTGTTGCAGAAGTGTTTGTTCCTCTGCTTTCAAACCGTCCATTTCCTCCTTAAGGCTCGAAATATCGGCTTTCCTTCGGTTGTGGCTCTCATTACTGACAAATAAACACAGAATTCAATACAAACTCAAAACATAAATCAATTCAAACAATACCTGAACTGCTGTTCATATCCTTTGATCTTTTTCTCGATATTCTTAATATCATTAGTGGTGACATTGCGCTCAGTGGTGACACTCCTCTCATCCCTTTCCTTAGTCCTAATCTTTTCTTTAATATCATTCACTTGCGTCTTAAGCTCTTCGAGCGCATCATTTGTCTGATTCACGTCTTCGAGCAATGAGTTCATACGCGCCATAGTGTCCGTCTTATCGGTGTCTAACTGCGCGATCGCCGCCTTCTCCTCATCCACTTTCCGCAACTGAGTCTCCACTCGCTTCTCAAACACGACTACCTGTGCCCTCACGTCTTCAAAGGCCGCCTTTTGCTCGTTGACGAGCGCCCACAGGGCCTCACCATTGAGTCGCGCGAACCTCTCCTTATGGTTCTCCAAGTCGTTAAACATCTTCACCTTTCGCTCCAATTCCTTGAGATCACGAGTGGTGTCGGGAATCACTGCCTTCTTCTGGTCCAAGATCTTCTGCGATATAGTCCGGTGCGTCTCAGCGGCCGCGTAATCGTTCTTCACGTCCTCCAGAAGCGTAGCCTTCATGAAGAACGTGTACTTATCCCTCGAGTTCTTGGTGTTCAGGAAGTTTCGCGACACCTCCTGATTCAACACACAGATTGGGTTATCCACCTGTATGTTGAAGTAGCGGATCATCGAATCCAACTGTTCCTTGCGGTCGGCCACGAGCTTACCGGCCGCCGACTTAAGCTTATAACTGGAGGCACCGCTCGCGTTGATTGTGCGCTCAATTATGATGGACTTCCCGTAGTGGTCGGCATTATAACCCCTTTTGCCGCCCAACGCGTCGTTCGAGTTGCAGATCTTCAGGATTATCTTCGCCTGCGATTCGCCGCTCTTTATGAATGATGCGATGCCTTTGCCCCGGGATGTGGTCGCCGCCCGACCTCCCAGTCCCAGCACTACGGCCGTCAGTATCGCACTCTTGCCGCCTATTAGTCGCGCAAAGAATCAGTCAATCATTTGATTCACGAATTCATTTCAATCGTAAAAATCTTCATTCAATACTCACTGCCATTGCGACCGACGATGAAGTTTATGCGCGGACCTAACCATTGAGATGGTAATCGTTAAGACATATGATAGTCACCACACGTTGTGTTCAAAACACTCACCGAAATCCATGTAGAAGTTCGAGTGACACATGAAGTTCTGGAGAGTTATGGACTCAATGGCACCGCATTCGGCGACATTCAGTTTAGCCCTCTGTTCGGCTTCGGCGGTGTGTTCGTTGACCTTCCGGTGCACCTGAGTCTCAGTCGGACCGCTAAACGACGGCCCCTCGTAGTCATCGCCCCAACGGTTACTCATATCCATGTCCTCCTCGTTGTCGTCCATCGGATCCACGTCTTGATCCATGGGTTGTGCGATGGGCTCTGGGGGCGCCCTCTGAGACAGTATCTCATCGACACCGTCATCGCTGTCAACGTTGGGCTGACTGTCAATCACGAGGTGTTGTGTCTGCGACTGACTCTTGTCGAGCGTCACATCGATGGACAGGTTGGCGGCCGAAGACATGCGATGATTGGGTCCGTCATCGTCGGTGCGAACCGTCTCCACGTCCGATGTGTTGCCATTGGTTGTCCTGAGAGCCGGTGGTGTCGTGCGTTGAGTGCTGGACATCGTGGAGGGCGTGTCAGCATCGGTAGCGCCAGTGGATCCACGTTTGCGTTTGCGAGTCAACTGACCCATCGCTCGACACACTCTGCAGACATTGTATGCAATCAATTGATCCAATCATTCACTCATTGACTGTCATATCAACTTACGGTTTGTTGTGATACTAATCTATTTATGTCTTAATCAGTGGATTATCTCTAATAATGTCTATTAAGTGGTGATAATGAAGACACAAATGAGTCGTCGGTTTAGCGCTCAAAACGTTTACCGCTTTTTGTGTGCAATCAATGCAAAGACATTGACAGACATTATGGCCATAAATAACGGATGATTTGAATTCAAACATTGCATTCAATTTATGCAACAATTTTGTGGTTTATCTTTACGTATACTATAAGCACACCATTCAATGGCTCGCATTTCTCATGTTTTAATTGTGAATATATACACATTTGGTACCTTTTCATATAAAGTAATACCATTTATATTGTATATATTTTTATAACATTAAAGCAAAACAAATATTCGCATACAATTTCATAAGGGCCTAAATAATACAAAGTATACGACTGTTGATAAGCCCTTATGACTGACTCAACGCCACTGTATCTCACGTTTCATTGAGTGTCATATGTTTACCAAACAAATCTTCAATTGTCCACTAAATCCGGTGATTATCTCTTAAGATGGCAATCGGCGAACCACTTCCGGACTCGTCATCGATGGTCAACAGCACGGGACGCGGCTTCTGTCCCGCGCTGAAGCGGTGGTTAGCGATGAGTTTGGACCAAAACTACGGTTAGTTGCTGGTCTAGTAACTTGACGTCTGGTAATAGTCTCTGTTCATACAGTAGTTGTCTAGTATACATTATCTTAAGACAATTGTCTCATCCGTTCCCACAGAACGACATCCAGAAGTGACTTCATCTTCTATGCGGACCGACTCGTGAGTAAACTCTTGGGTAGTGTTGTCCACACTTTTTGACCACTATTTGTATGTCAAAACAGATCCGTTTGGTTGTGGAGGAAGGGCTGAATCAGTTGCCATCGAAGGCCATCGACGTGCGGACGCCTACGGGTGCCATATATCACATCTGGAGTACATCAAGAAGAGTATCTGCGGCGTGAGTATTGTCCGCAGCGGCGAAGCCATGGAAAAGGGTTTAAGAGATTGTTGTCAATCGATACGAAAGCCGTTTTATGACTAGGTTAGCCTACTCAAGTGAGTGCTCCGCGCACAGCACATGCGGTTGATCCCCGAAGACCTACAGGAGCGCAAAGTGCTGCTCATGTATCCCATTATGAGCACCGGGAACACTGTGGTGAAGGCCGTCAAAGTGCTTATGGATCAGGGCGTCAAACCCAAGAGTATTATTCTGTTGAACCTCTTCTGCACACCTAATGGTAAGCCATTTGTTGATTGTTTTTTGGTGATAATTATCTGTTAATTCATGTTGTGATCAGCCGTCGCATCGGTGGCCAAAACTTTCCCATTGATGACGATATTGACCTCTGAAGTGAATCCTGTGGCGCCCAACCATTTCGGACAGAAATACTTTGGAACTGATTAGTGATCAGTCATTTATGGCCAGATTATGGCTTAGATTTTCGAGTTTTATCATAATTTTTATATTTGTTTTGAATGAAAAGTATTACAATTGAAATATATTTACATTTTACCGGTAATTAAACATTAAGTTTAATGACTCGTTTGTTTTAATAATTTTATTACATAATGTATTTTAAATGTTTGTAAATTGTATTTGAAAACTATTAAACCATAACATGTGACAAATTATAAATAAATTGAAATGTTTTACACATTTTATTATAAGAAAATTAAACCAAAATTAAAAAATTATTTAATAAAATGTGATTAAAAAGCAATAAAACCAGACATTAATCATAGGTTATGACTGGTCGGAGCCGTTTGGGCTTATTATCCGCGTATTGATCCAAATCCGAGTCTCGTCTACAGGCGCTGCTCGAAGACGATATATTCTCATCCCTGACCTTACGCTGGCCATCGCATCGACTATTATCTCCACCACTGGAACCGTTGACAAAAGATATTCGCAAAGGCCTGCCGTCAACCGTCTTGCCATTGAGTCCGAAGAAGGCATTCCGAGCGTCCTGTTTGCGCTCATATATGACAAACCCGGAGCCCATCGACCGGCCCTCACCCGTGTAGTTCAGTCCCGATCTGATCAGAGGTCCGAACGGTTCAAACGTCGACCGAAAAGTTTGTTCAGTCGTATTGTAACTAACATTGTGGACGAATAGCCTCCCGGCGTCGCCCCGGTAGCCATCGTTGGCCGCACGCCTTACCGGTGGTCTGTCCCTCGAGTTGTCTACTCTTACGTTAGTGTACTTCCATTGGTCTCGTGGGAGGCCGTAGTCCAGTAGACTCCAGTCGCGGATCACATCATCTAATGATAGCTTTAACAGAAATGCTATCCTTTCCTCTTCGGACACCACTTTAGGATTGTTAGACATTTTGGTCTCAATCTGTCATTTAGTGGTTCACACGAGACTACAGTAGTGCTGGACTAACACAATGAACAAGTGATTGAAACTTTCGTAAAATATTTGCATTTTCATTCATTAATAGGAAAATAAACTTTTTAGTTTTGTTTAAATTAGTTTGAGTTATCATTTCTTATAAATGTTCAATCATATTCAAATAATTAATTTCCAATGAATTTATATGGAATATTTTGATACAGTAACTTATTCTTAACTTGTACGGTATGTTAATTTTATACTCTATGACTACAGTAATAGTTTACTGGTAATTTACTGTATGTGTAATGTTTAGTAGTTAAATTTTAGCTGATAGTGATTATTAATATACGGTAGTAAATACAGTAGTAAAAGTTTCTTAATGTTAATTTTTCTAAAAAATCATTAAAATCATTATCAATATCGATAATATTAAAATAAAATCAAACTCGTGTAATGTTAAAATACTGTACTAATTAACTGAAACATTGAAACTACAAAAACAATTACAATACAGTAATGCAAACTTTTATTCAATAAATAACTTTTATTTGTATAGATTTTAAATCAACAATTTTGATGACACAACACAAATGAATATTTAAATTGAATAATCATTTAGCGGTAGAATGCAATCGTTTAACATGTATAACAATATTACCGCTATTGCCTGTCCTATACTGACATCCCGGCCAATGACACTCAAAAGGCTTAACATTGTTGTGGACATTCATGTGCTCTTCCAAAGACTTCTTTAACCGGAACCGTTTGCCACAGTCTGGCCACTCGCACGGGTAGGGCTTATCGCCGGTATGTATGCGCTTATGCGAAGCCAACGCCGCCCCCTCCCACTCACAGCCGGGCCAATCGCACCGGTGTTTATACACTCGTTTGGGAAGTGGTTTGCGATTGTGTGCCGACGTCTCGTGTTTGCGGAGCTTTTCATACGTGAAAAACATTTGTCCGCAGCCGTGGTGTCGGCACTTAAAGGACGGGCTGTTTGTGTGGACCGAGCCGTGAGTGTTGAGCTCTCGAGCGGTTCGGAAGCTCCGGACGCAGACATAGGCGGCGCTCCTGTGGCTCAGCGAATGGTTCCACAAACCACTCCTCACTTTGAAGACTCGGCCGCAGCCCTCGTAATCGCACCGAAAGGGCCGTTCACTCGAGTGCCGGTTCCTCTTGTGTGCAGTCACTTCATGTCGTGTCAGACACTCGTAATGGCAGTCCTCGTAATCACATGCAAATGGTTTCATCTGTTGGTGACTCTTCGTGTGTTCGTTGAGATGATACACGCGTTTAAAGCCTTTCGTATTACTTACAGAAGTATAGGCGCTCGCAGTGGACATGGATCTCGTGTGCAGATAGGCTTTTCATGGACTTGAAATACTTATGACAACCACTTTGTCAACATTTATAGGTCTTCGTTGACAAACACTTCTCGCTGTCGCTGTTGTGGTCAATGTCTTCATTTGTATGTCTTTTGGTGGTAACTATTGTCTCATATAATGACACATTTGTATGCATTTTATCTTTTCGTTTGTGTTTTATTGGTTTCGTGTCCAATGTATGCCTTTTACCACTCATTGGTTTCAAGATATCACAGGTATTTTCAAGACATTCCTCGAGTTTCTCAACATTTATATTATCTAAACATTGCTTTATTTCTCTACTATTTGTAGATTTAATGGATTCTTGATTGCAATGATCAATGGTGTCATCAGTTGTGGTAACTTCAGGAGGAAGTGTTGACAACAACTCCTGGAAGTGTTGTCTGTCTTGGGATGAGATGAATGTCTCGTATTTCACGTGAATATCAATTAAATGTCTTTTCAATTGGTTTGCAATCAATAACTCATTCATTAGTCTCTGGTTTTCAGCCATCAGTTCATCCAAAACATCGTGGATTGCAATCATTGTCTCACTTGTCATCACTTCCAGCACTTCCAGTGTCTGTAAAAGTGGACACAA